AGTTACCATGAGTTCAAGTTCAAGTTCAAGTGCAAGAAAATATGTTGTAGTTTTTAAAGAATTATTTGCACATGTACATTTAATTTTAGGAGCAACAAAGAGTCATGATTTTTAGAGGCATGCAGGTTTCAAAGAAAGAAAACAGTGTTGTAAAGAAAGAAAAAGATTGCAGATGACACCGAGGTGAAAAGAACAAAAGTGGTTAGTAAGAATTAAGAAATTATATATTTATTACAGTGGCAGATTTATCCAGGGGGAAGGGGGGGGGGGGCATTAAGAAATTAAGAAAATGTAATGGGTACTCAGAAAGTTTTACATTGAGATTTATATTTTTATTCATTCTGCAGAAATATATTGGTATGTTTAGAAAAGTCATCTACTTTATAAATAATTATTTGCAATTTAGCTTACCTGAGTCTAATGCCATGTTCATACAGAGAGTTTAATTCGAATCAAACGTAAGTTACTGCACATTAAAATCTGAACAGCATTCACATGAAGAGTTTAATGCAAAAAAGTTTAATTTGAATTAATTAACTGCGCATTAAATTACTTCGGATTAGCTCCATGTGAACGCTAAACGAAGCTTATTCAAATTAAATTTTGACGCATGCGTAAGGCCTGAATTAAGTCACAGGCCCCATGTCAATAGTTAGATTTAGATATCAGTGCTAGGTTTGGTTGAAAAATAAAGGAAAATTATGTTAATCACTAAATTGTATAAAAAACACTATGATTTTTATGTCAATTGAATCTGCTCGGCACAAATGATGTGAATAATAAATGACGTCATAATATCATTGCTGATCTCCCTAATGTAGAAATAAAATTTTGATTCGCATAAGTTTACTTTGCTTTAGCTGTCGTGTGAACACAATTTAATTCGAATTATTTTTTTACTTCTCATTAATTAACTGTGAATTAAACTCTCCATGTGAAAAGGGCATAAGGCTCAAGTAAACTTTTCTGACTAAGAAGTGTCTGGCATCTTTTATCATATATACATAATGATCCCCAGGTTAAGGATGGGGCCACAATGGAAATCAAACTTTTACACCAAAATACAAAGGAAAGATCATTAGAAATCTTCGAAGGCCATGATTAGTCAAGGAAATAGAAAGCATCATCAGTTGGTGTAGATTTAAGCTTGTTCAAATCATGCCCGCTTCCCTTCCCCTTAGGATTAGTTTGGGCCCAGTAGGAATTATTACTTTTTCAATACTGAAAACCAAAGAGCTAAGGTGAGCAATGTGACCCATGGGTCTTTATTTGACCTTCATCATATTTCTGTGCAAAATATCCTAGTGTTTGTTCATTTTGCAAGTTTTTTTTTTTCTCCCCATACTTTGCCGTTATGAAATTGTCAAAAGAAGTTTAAATATTTTTTTAAATTCATGCAAGTTACAAAGGATATTGTGAGAAAATAGGGAGGTTTTATTTTTGATAAAGGGAAACAACTCTTGCAAATGTACATTTTTTATTCATGTAAGAATTTTATGCCAAGTCAGTTCACACAAGAAAAACCCAGTTTGCTGTCATATTGGGAGCCCTCCACTTGTCATAATTATCATGAAAAAACTTCTCCACCCTACCAAGTTTTCCCATGATTATGTGTGTCAATGATAATTATAAAGACTCTTGTGTTTTAATGTTATTTTTCAGGGTTCAGGAACCATAAATTTGATGTTGGAGTTTGAACTTCACCCTGACAGACTTTGAGCACATCATAAGTTTTAGACCTGGCAGTTGGATGATAAGGAAAATACAGCCGTGATAAATATCAGAGAAATCTCCTTGGAAGAGTGTGCCGGTCTGGACAAAAAGTTGCAATGTAAATAACTTGGAAGAAAAAAAGAGTCTTGTCAAATTTCAGAGAATTCTTGATGAAAGATTGCATGTGTTGTTCCTGTTCCATGAACTTTGTCTTTTAAACATTATTTAACACTTCATTTGAAGTGATGCATTTTTGACACATTTTCATTATTGAAATATTTACATTTGATACTCTATTTAACCAGTGGGCCAAGAAAGGTGAATACTCAAGTGGAATCATTGTCAGATAGGATAGATTCAAGTTTGTACATTGTACAAATCATGACCCCCTGGATGTAGAGTGGGGCCACACTGAGAGTTCAAACTTTTAGGAAAAAAGGCCACAGTCAAAAATATATAAGCTTCCTTATTTAGTGTAGATTCAATTTTGTCAAATCATACCCCTCCCTTTTAGGGGTATGTCAGGACCATTTATGCATTTAAGTTTTTCAATACTAAACTGATTTTTGCTTTTTTCTTAGCCACACTGCATAGGTGAACCAGTTGGTCCCTGAGCCTCTTGTTAACTCTGTATATTATATATATTTACCAAAATATTGAGGCCTTTTCTTTTTGAATATTTTCAATTAGAATTTTTTAAAAATTTTTCCTGAAAGTAATTTGCACATTTATTTAATTTAAAGTTGTCTGGTTATGATGTGTTATTAAATGGATATTAAATTGTGATTTTTCTGGTGTTCTTTTGGACTTGAATGACAAACATATAATGGACGGCATGTTGGAAAAGTTGGAGCTCTGTCATATACATGTGATATTTGTAGACCCAAATATTGTTCACCAACATTGGAAATACAAGTTCAAAATATGGGAGCTACTATATGGCCTATATACTGTATGTGTACTTAAAAAAGTGGGCTTCATATTTATGTCTGATAATCTGTAATCTGTATACATATGCATTTTAATGAGTTACGCAGTACCTTCACATACATGTACTTGACCTTGAGAGGGAATTCGCACTCAAATCTAGTATTGAAAAAAAACTTGCATGCAAGTAGATTTCTAAACAAGATATGTTTGTGAAACACTGATGCCCCAGTATGGCAACATAGTGAAGATTGAGCTTCTCTTAAATGCAAATTTAATATATTGATACCCAAAGTAGGGTCTCCTAACTGGAAATACAATTGTGAAACATGAAAACCCTATCATCATCTGTTCCCAATTTATGGTCAGGCAAAAGTTTTTTCATACGTACAGAAATCCTCAAGATCAAGGTCATAAGCTCAAAGTTATTGGTATTGAATGAAAGGTCTCGTTACAAAAAATACATATGGGAAGTAAAAAAGCCCTAGCCCTTACTCTTCAAAAGTCATTGCCAAGGGTAATGTTTTTTCATAAGTCCTGGAATGTCAAGGTCAAAAGGTCAAGGTTTTGGTATCCAATAAAAGGACTTGCCACAGAAAATACATATGTAAAGTATGGAAGGCTTGGAAGCCCTAGCCCTATTACAATTTATAAGTGATTGATAAGGTTAAAGTTTTTTCACAAGTCCGGAAATCTCCAAGGTCAAAAGGTCAAAGTTATTGGTATCCAATAAATGATTCTGCAACATGTGAAGTACTGAAGCTCTAGCCCCAACCGTTTAAAAATTTTGGTTACATTTTTTTTAAAAGTAAGTCAAACTCTGAGGTCAAGGTCAAAGGTCTAGGTATCAAATGATAGGTCTTGTCACAAGGAATAAAAAACTAAAGTATGAAAGCAATAGCTCATACCCTTTAATATATTTTGTCAAGGTTTGTTTTTTTTAAAGTAGGTCAAACGCCAAGGTAAAGGTCAAAGCTCTTGGTATCCAATGAAGGGTCTTCTCATAAAGATTACATGTGTGAAGTATGAAAGCTCTACCCCTTGCAATTCAAAAGTTATTGCCAATGTTAAAGTTTTTTTACGAAGTTTTGGGGTATATAGTATTTGTCGTGTCCATCTGTCTGTTTGTCCGCAAAAACTTTAACCTTGCCCATAACTTTGATTTGGTAGAGCCATGACTTTCATATTTCACATGTGTATTCCGACCTTTCTTTGGGTACCACCAAATGTGACCTTTTGACCTTGGAGTTTGACCCACTTTTACATGATAATTTTTAACTTATACTTTGGCCATATTTTTTAACAGTAGATACCAGAGGCCTGTTCAGCAGAGCGAACGTTCGCGAGCGCTCGCCAAAATTACTATTGGAGGTATAAGGAATTTTGGCGAGCGCTCGCGAACGTTCGCTCTGCTGAACAGGCCTCAGGACATTTATACTTCACATATGTATTTTTTTCAAAAAACCTTTCATTTGATACCAACAAACTTGACCCTTTGACCTTGTATATTTCCGTATCTGTGAAAAAAACATAACCTTGGCTATAACTTCTGAACGGTAAAGGACGGGGCTTTCATACTTCATATATGTAATCCTTGTGAGAAGACCCTTCTTTGGATACCAAGCATTTTGACCCTTTGACATTAACCTTTAAGTTTGACATACTTTAAAAAAGCTATCCTTGACCATAACTTTTAAAGGGTTAGGGCTGGTGCTTCCATACTTTACACATTTAATCCTTGTGACATGACCTTTCATTTGATAACAAGAACTTTGACCTTGGAGTTTGACCTACTTTTAAAAATTTTCAACCTTGGCTATAACTTCTGAATGGTTAGGGCTAGGGCTTCCATAATCTACATAAGTATCCTATGTGGCAAGACCTTTCATTGGATATCAATTACCTTGACCTCGGAGATATTTGTACTTATTGAAAGTACGGTACTTTAACATTGGACTACTTTCAAATTCACAATTGTTTTCCAGTGAGAATACCCTACTTTTGGTACCAGTTAATTAAATTTGCATTTAAGAAAAGTTTAATCTTTGCTATTTTTTTCATTAGTATGTAAATCTTTAAGGTCAAAGTTGGTGGTATCCAATGAAAGGTCTAAATACAAAGAATACATACGTGAAATATGAAAGTCATAGCTCCACTAATAAAATCAAAAGGTATGGGCAAGGTTAAAGCTTTTGCAGATAAACAGACAGATAAATGGACATGACAAAAACTATATACCCTCAAAACTTCATTTATGGGGGCATAAAAGTATAAGCACAAAACAAGACTAAGTTATTAATTTATTATATTGTTTCTGGCATTAATTTTTTTTTAATACACACAAGAGAGAATTGTCCAGTCTTATCAGTGTCCTGTTTGTGTGGGATTTTTACCTGCCATTACATGTGTACATATTCTGCATTGTTAATCTTGAAATGCCTAATAACTGGACTATGCTCTCTCAAATTAGATAAACCATCAAGTCAAAAGCTTATAGGCTCAGTGTTGCAGAACTAATAGTACAGAATTAAGTGATAGCAAAAGGTCTAACAGTCTATAAATCCATCTGAATATAATCAATTCTTTCTCCCTCTTCAGATCCTTTTCTCTCCAACCAACTTTTTTTTCAAAGTGGGTTATGACATCATTCATAGGAAGAACTGAAATATAAAAATATCATTATACCACCTGATTCATGAGGAATTAAATAACACATAACAAGAGGCCCATGGGCCACAATGCTCACCTAGGTTACTTGGTTCTTGTGTTCCACAGAATTTAAAAAAATGTTCCTTTTTTCAATGAAAAATGACCAAATATTATGGCTTCACCTTAGCATAAGCATTTGTAATGAGGTTTACTTAATCTTAATAACATATCCTACTGTCCTTCCGTCACACTTTGAACTTCATATGCTGTTACATATATTTTATTAATAAGAGTTTCTTATTTCTGACCTTGACCTTAATTTTTGTTAAATTATGTTAAGTTCGGTTTCAAGAGTTGTTTCAGATATTTTTATCAAACCTTATATATGTGCAGATACATATTGATGGGATCTATTCAACTTCATAATCATTATTTTACTTGACCTTTCTTTTGACCTTGACCTTTCTTTAAATTAGTGAGTAAAGCTTAGTTTTAAAGAAACTATTCAAGAGACTTTGATTAATCTTAATATGCTTAAACTATAAACATTGATAAGAGCTATTAAATTGCATGAACATTCATCATGATATTTTAATAAAAATTTATATGCTAAACATATTGAATAGCATTTACAAACTGCAACAAAAAATCTGCCACTGTGCTAAATAATTAATTCTTTCTAACCATTACTGTCCTCTGTACCTTTGTCATCCACCATTATTTGATGGAAAATCTTTTTCTTTCTTTACAACACATTTTTCTTTCTTTAAAATCTGCACCCCTTTAAAAATCAAGACTCTTTGTAGCTCCTGAAATTAAATGTGCAAATAATTCTTTAAAAACTAGAGCATAATTTGTATTTCTCATGGTGACAGATGATTGAGTAAAAAATGTAGAAATTCTCAAATTTAGAATCTATTATCTTACTCTTAAAAGCTTAAAAAACACCCAGAGGCGTTAGATCTGCTCACATACTTGCTACACTAACATCTAGTAACAACATCTCACAGAGGGTCAAGTCAGAGGTCAGATTCTATCATCCAATCAAATTGTCACCTGCAAAATCATTGAATATTTGTTGAAAGGAATAAGAAGTCTACAGTTGTTCCGAATTTGACCTTAGATGTGACCCTCGATGGGATATTGTTAGATGTTAGAGTAGCAAGTATGCGAGCAGATCTAACATCTAACTTTATTAGTTTGACCCAGAGGTGAACATAATTACTGTAAAATCACATATTTTCATGGGTTCAAACTTTCATGGTTTGAGGAAAAAATTTGGTTCCTGGGAATTTGATTTTGTGGCTGAAGAATTGTTGAGTAGTTTTATATGTAACACTTTACATTTCGTGGAGGACATGAATTTGTGGGGCTCTTCACACCTCCAAAACAACGAAAATTAACCCCCCACGGAAATTTGTGATTTTACAGTAAATGTGCATGTTCATACCCCTTTAAAATAAATGGAAAAGGCTGTCTTTTACCTGGAACTTTTTTTACCATCCCACAGCAGCTCCTTTCTTCAACTTGCATAATCTGCAACATAACAGTTATTTCATAAAAATTGTTTTCATCAATCATAGATAAAATCAGCCAATCAAGACAATTTATCAATAGTCAGACTTTTAACTTAAAGTTTTTTGTTTGTTTTTATGTTGTTTAATGTCCCTCTCAAGAATTTTTCATTCATATGGAGACGCCACCATTTGCTGGTGGAGAGCTTTAAATTTATTCAATACTCAGCAAATATAGCCATTGAGCAGTGAGGGACCTTTTTTGTGCCAGCACGTACTGTGACACAGGACCTCGGTTTATACCGTTTGATCTGAATGTAGTAATCCTGGAAGTGCTAGCCTCGGATTGCCCTGCTACCTCTGATCACATGGTATATATGTCATGCACCTGCTGTGATGTGTACCTATCATCGCACACTTTTTCTGTTACCGGGTGCAGAGTACAGATAAATCTTTTCAGCTCCATCAATATTGTGCATTGTATATAGTAAATTACATATGAAGGACTGGTCTCCATGTCCCACAGTGGGATTCGAACCCACGACATAAGGATCAATTCACTCTTAACTTTGCAACTGTAGAGCAAACAGTCTTATATGGGCAACTCAACTGACCCAAGTCGCAATGTAAATAACAATAGATCTCAATATATAACTGAATAACTTACTTCAGAGAAAATTCAAGTTAAAACTGTAAAGTACAATTAAGCTATTAAAAAACTATTAAAAATATCTGTTAGTAAATATATACACTATATCATTCAATTTAACGCCACTTTATCTAGATTTGAAACATAGATTCACAATGCAATGGCATGCATTGATGCAATCTCCATCTCCTATACAAAAGTACAGAGATAATTCGAACTGGTTCTTCCGAAGCTGTCGTTTAATAACAGCATACTGACAGCTGATTTCTGAGACATTTCCTTTATCGAATGAATGGAATTCACTTCCTTGTACATTAATATAACAAAATCATCTTTACTTACCGGCAAACCGCCTGCCTTTCACTGGCGCCGTACTCGGCACTGTTGATCAGGGAAGCACATGGCTTTAAACCACGTGATTGTCTTCGGCAGACAAACGTTTACTTTTTCAAGCGTCCAAATAATAATAATCTTTCCCAAAGAAAATCTGACAAGATTATAATTGTTCAGTACATCAAAATCACACAAACGTTTGATTTCAAGCGTCTAAATAATAATAATGTTGCAACTTTTTTGGTCGCGATTATTATTGTTGGAGAGACAGATTATAATTGTATGATCGATGTGGAATATAATTATTATAAATTTGAAGCGAAATAAAAATAATGTGTTCGTTCGGGCAAACAAGATTATAATTGTTAAAAGTAAGAATAATTATTATAATTTTGAGGTGAAATAAAAATAATGTTTTAAAACATCGACTGACAAGATTATAATCATGAGGCGAAAAATTATAATAATGTGTCCACATTGACTGGCAAGATATTATTGTGAAGTGAATCATTATAATTGTAGGACAAAATAATAATAATGTGTACACATTTCACAGACAAGATTATAATTGTTGCAGGAAAATAATAATAATGTTGTAAAAAGCAAGTTTGGATGAGATAATTATTTTTGGTATAGATATATAGGAAAATATAATAATAATGTGGGGGTACCCTACGGCTTTCCATAGGATGCATTATTTTTGGAAGATGATTTTTCACTTTTTTGTTCGTTATAGCATATAGTTCATCATCATCGGATACCCAACCCAAGGATGATCTCATCTTTACTCATCACCGGGTGATAAGTAAAGACAAGATCACTCATGGGTTTCCGACGATGATTGTTTATTTGTAACACAACATTCTAATGCATTTGAAAAACAGATTATATATAACGTTTACAAATTTTCTTTATCAACAGAAAAAAACGAAGGGATATCAATATGAATTTCAGAAATGCAAAAATTAAAACTTCTTTGTTACTTGGAGTATTAGAAATGCATCGAGGGAAAGCAAAAGAAAAACACAAGCTATGTTGTATTACGATATAAAACCATGTGCCAGAATATTTGTTTCTTTTACAATTCAATTAACTGCAAACGAACTAAATGTTAAAAAGAGAATTGATTACGTATAGACTGTATTGAGAATGTCTTAATAGATATCAGGGATGGGGTTAATTACTTTAAAAAGTAATTAATTAAATTACAATGACTTTTTCTTCAATTAAATTACAATTTAATTACAGGGTTTCTAAGACATGTAATTAATTAAATTACAATTACTTTACAAAAGTAATTAATTCAACTACAAATTACATTTTCAACTTTTTGAATTTTTTTATAATCATATAAATATACAGAATAGGGATCAGTCACTTGTACATAAGCGCAGCCTCTGCACAAACAATACAAGAAATAATATGCTAGTAGGTATAATGATTGTGTATCTTTGTGGTTTACATCATAACTTTTATTTACAAAACAGTAAATGACTATTCAAGATCAGTTTGATGCAAGTGCCTCCATACAAAACCTACGTGTACACAAATTGCATGGGTTATGATATTTGACTAACAGGGATTTTTTTTAATAGAGTAAAATAAGTCGCAACTATAACCCCTAAAATTTGATATTTTTTTTTAAAGGTCACCTTTACATACTAAATTGCTACTTATGTTGAACATTTTTACTTCATATTTATATAATACTTGTACAAAACATCTTTTTTTTAGATACAAAATTCATTCATAAAATTTTGTTTAGATGTTAAAATAATTATAAAATTGAAAGTTATTTATTTTCTTATTTTCTTTATTTTCTTAAACTTGCGGAGCATTTTTAATTGAAATAATTATCCCCATGAATTGGCTTTGTCATTTAAATCATGGAATGAATACCTCTGCAGAGGGGTAGATTTGTTTTGATTGCAATTTACAGGTGTGGAGAGAAATTATCTCTTAATATCAACAAAAGAGAACTTCATTATGACACACACATTCCTTTTTTTCTTGACACAAACATTCTTATTCTACAAAGATTGAAATATAAAAAAATTATATGCATGTTTCATAGCTGAATAGGCCTATTAAAGCATGGTGGTGCAAAATAAAGATAAACATAAGTTTATATAATAATTAGAAAGAAACTACATTATAATTATAAAATAAACTGTCTAACTCTTGAACTGTATAATTGAAGGACTGAGGCTATGTTTGCAATAAAATAAAAGACAGTATAATGGTATACATGTAATGGGGTGGTCGTGGTGACAATATATCATGCATGTATATCATATAAAGTAATTGAATGTCAATGACAATGACAATGACAATGATTTATTCTCTTAAATGTACAAACATACATTGTAGAGAGGAGGTAGGAAAAGGTACAAACACATACAAAAAAATATAATACATGCATTATAAACAGTAAAAAAAACATCACGTTCAAGTTCATGTCAATTATTTTCATCTATAATTTGTTTGACAATCAATAAAAATTTACATAATTTTTTTCAATGTTGAACAGTTTGTTGTTTTAAAAAGTTGCTTAAATTTCTTTATATTTGGTCTAGATGTAAAAGAGTTTGAAATATATTTTAACCTAGCCTCTTTAATTTCTTTTTGTGTGCATTCAAAAACATAATGGAATTCATCACCAATCTTATGAAAATCACATAAAGTACAAATTCTTTGATCTCTTGGAATACCATCTCCCAGTTTCAATAGGGAGTTTAAAGTATGTAATTGAAAATGTAATTGAAATTACATGGTATTTTTTCAGTGTAATTAATTAAATTACAATTACAAGTAATTGAAAAAATGCTCAATTACAAATTTCATCCAATTACTTCAAAAAATGTAATTAATTACAGTCAATTACAATTTCTTTTTTCAATTACCCCATCCCTGATGAATATTTTATTAGGAGACGCAGTTAAACTATTAAAAAAAGAATAAATAATGCTATAAATTAGATAGTCGGATTCAGCTTGAGTGCGTAGGATTCTAAAATAAATTATATCATATTTAGCCAGCGAGGTAGCTTTATATACATGTATGCTGATTTAAGAAGCCCCACCCCTCCTCTAAAAAACCAAAAAAACATTAACTCTCCTTTAGAGAAAATTAATATGTACGAAGGCACGCGGCGTACGCATCGACAACATTCTGCCATCCCGTTCCTAACCCAGTCCAACACAACACTTATAAAATTATAGACATTTCATAATTATTTGTTTTATGATTTTGTAAATAAAAGAAATCAAATAAAAAAAAATGAGATTTATAATTAAGTTATCTGTTTTGGGCATCCATCCTCTCTTTAAAAAAGAGAATAGTAGTAGAATCTTATAATGTAGAGAACGTTTTGATGTTGTAATTGAAATGCATATTCCTGTTATTGACGAACAGGGGAAATCCTGCTCAAGATGATTTTTGCAGAAAAGTTTGGTATTAACGGGGTTCAAAATACTTAACATTATGCTGAATATTTAAGAACACCTTTCACAAAACTGTTTTCTATTTACATCCGACTTTAGAATAATTTTTTGGTTTACAACTCTTGAAAATATTAATGACGTAGAAGGATAAGTTTTACAAACCGGGCCCATCTTCTTACATTTAAAAATCACATATAATCCATCATCGGTATTTTTTTTTTTATAAACTTACAAAATAAGGAGTGAAATATTTACGAAAATAAACTTTTAATTTAGTTCTTGAAGACAACTTTTAAATACACGGTATATCATTTTTAAATTTTGATTTGACAACATAAATCCACAAATATGAACATATCAGTTGCTCTCAGTTTTTCAAGTGAGATAGATTTTGTAACAAAAATACTTGTAATTGCATTGGAATAAATGTTATTTTTAAACACAATATTTTGCTTGTATTGCATGTTGACCTCTTTATTAAAGTCTTTCCTTTGGAAGTGTAGACTTGCTTATTCTAATGGTTAAGATAAAGATCCTCTGTCTTCAGCAGCAATATAAGGTCTTGTACACTGAAAACATAAATTTGTCACGTTGACCAGATTTGAAGTCATTTTCTTCCGTACAGTTAGTCAATACATAATTTGACTATCTGTTTCCTCAACATTAACAGTCTTTGGTCAACTTTTACTTGTATCCTGGTCATTTTGTTTATATTGTTTGGCGGGAAGAAACAATAGCGTCGGTCGCCATTTTCCTCCCAGGAAAAACACGAAGTGATGGTATGTCATGTTTTGTTGTTTTCTTGATTTTGGACAAATAATTCTATAATAAACTTAATCAAAAAATGTTCTACTGAGAAATAATATTATAATTAACAAAGTACTTGATATTTTTCTTCAATAATTATTATATTTTACATTATTATCATAATGATACATGTAGACTAGGATGTGGGTTGATTGTGTTCAAGTAGTTTTTTGCATATTCAATTTATGCAAACAGTTCAAATTGGACTTGGTCTAAAATTCAACGATTATTAAACACGTATTATTCCTTTACAACTCACAGGTATGGCATGGACTCTCAACTACCACTGAATGGACAAATAAATCAAAATACAATACCTTGTTACGAATAGACAAGATGAAAACCACATTAGGTACACGAAGATGTTACCATGAATGGAAGAAATAAGGTAGGATTACACGTACTGATAGCTTATAGGTTAAGTATAATGTTGATTTACAGAGAACTCGTTATTTTTCAACATTCTATTTTATAAAATACAAATACAAAATACAAATAGATGATGTTTATGTACTAACTCTCTACTGACTATACTGGCCTGCTTCACTAAATATTATTCGTATTATTCCATTTATTTTGTTTATAATACATGTATATGATAAACATGATAAAGGCATATAAAATAAAATCACAATGGTTTGTAGTTGTCCCATTTCTGACGAAAACAGCCAAACAAGAAGAAAACAGAACTGATGATGATTTCATTCCTATGTGCCATGTTTGGTAAGGTAAATGTAATTTTTTATTCATTTCAATTGTATGTATTTAACAACTAATATTATGGTACCCATTATTTTCTTCTTAAAACTGCATATATATCTATTTACTATATTTATATCTTAATTTCCTGTTAATATAAATAAATTTGTTTTCATATAAGCCTACTTTACTTTTGCTATCAAGCAACTGTGTAAACTATAAAGACTATTCTTCATTGCAGGACCTGTGAAAAAGACTTTGTAATGATCAAAGAAGAAAACAACCAGTAAATATATTACTCTGAGGTAGAAAACAAAGCAACAACTGAAAGGGTGCAACAAGAGACTGTTACCTGAAGCTATTACTTTGATTGATAAGAAATC